TAAAATGAGTATATCATGTACGGTTGTGCTTCATGAGAATGCCTTAATGAAAAATAACCATTCGAAAATGGATGTATGTTTCACATGTATTCAACATACAATACAACAGTATGTGTTTTTATGTTTTCACTCGTTATTCAACAAGCAAAAGAGATGGTTGCGTGTGATAGCACCAATGATAATGATTATGATGATGACGACGTGGATGGCATGAGAGGAGGCACCAAATATCATCCAACACACGCGTCGTACATCCTGTACTTTGATTCTTATACCATCTATTTTGGTGTGTTTGTGTTTTAAAAATCGACGTACACACACACAAACTCATTTGCAGTGCATAAAACTCATAAACCCACATATGCTAGTCATCATTACACATCACTCGGGGAATTAACAGACAATGGATGACCGAGGCCAAATTTAGAGAAAAGTAAACGTTGCTTAACGCGCATTTATTTTCAAAATATTGTTTGTTGATTACGATATGGAGAAGAGACTATACAGCACAGAGACACATCACATCACGACAACAACATATAATTTAGTCTCTTTCGTTTGCTTATTCGCCTAGGGTTTTTTCGGTTCTCCGATCATTTTGAGAATTTAATTCGGTGTTTTATGCGTCCGTACGATTGTTTATTTAGGATTTTCTCATCTCGTATCATTCACGCATATACACATTCACCCGTGTCCTTTATTATGTTCTCCTTTTTCCCACTCATTCTGCTGTGTTTGTCTCTCATGTGTACTTTGGAGCCAACTTTATACTCAGCTTTATATATATTCTTTGGTAGAACCAGTACATTTGGGTTATTACACAGTTTTTATCCCTTTTTTTCTTCTTTTTTCTGTCTCTCTTTCGACTCTTGATTCCATTTTTATCTAAATTTAGATCATTAATTAAATATATCGGAGTAAAATTGAATGCTGTTGTTCTTTTCATGTCCGTTGTCACTTGCGATAACGGGCATTACATTCGCCACGGAATCGATTTTCTCTTTACTTTTCGTTTCTTGATCGTATAAAATGAACAAAACCATATCCATTCAACACACAAAACGTTTTCGATTTACGGTGATATAAATGTCGTTATACAACAATAGCTAATTTATCTATCGATGTGCTAGATGGTATTGTGTGAGCAATGGCCATACTTTGTTGAATACATAAAAGAATCGGGTCACGTCAATTACGTTTTCCAGCAGCTCCAGCAATACTTCTCGCGAAAATAGCATTAAATAATCAATTAACAATTTATGAGTGCTTCATTTTATTTGCCGCCCTTGTTTTTCCCGTTTTTTCACGTGTGTTTATATTTTGTAAGCTTATTCGCTCCATAAATTCACTGCTAATGAGATAATGAAACTCTGAAAACGGAACAAACAACGCAACAACGAGATAGATATGCGGGAAAACAACAAACTTCTGGAGAAAAGAGTTTCTTGCCATTTTTTTCTCTTTTCACGGTCCCAATTCAATTCAAACCAAATAAAACTAATTAAGTCCTTAATTAAGGTAAATGCGCATTGATCACTCTCATATATTAACTTTTTTTACTCTTTCGCCCATTCTCGGGCACACAAACACACGAGCACAAACAAAATCATTAAAACAGATAATAATAATAATAATAATTAATGGCATTATAATAATAATGATTAAGCTACATTCTGCGCAGTTGCTCTATCGAGAATTTATCGTCGATGATTGCCATTTTTGAACGCTTTGTGTTGGAGTTTTTCCTTCAATTTACGGAAATTGAATACAACGATTTATTACACTTCGCTCGCTGACTTATTTCATCGACATAATCTCATCGTAATGACTATTCCACCTGTGAATAAATAATTGAACAAAACATCAGGCCAGCCACGAAGGTGAAACAACTAATCAGAAAAATAAATATCTAGCGATAAAAGTAGAATGATATCATTCAATATAACGGTAGATCATCACTTATAATAACGTATGGATTGAAATTCATTGGCTTTTTATCTTGAAATTCACTTCACGCACGCAATTAAAAATCGATGGAAAAAGTTGTGAGGCAGCAACCTTCTTGACCTGTTTGAACTCGAAACTAAAGAGAAAAAAAGGTAGAAGAATGGGACCTTTTTAAAAAGATTATTAAAATTACATTAAAAAGCCAAAGATCAAACTAAATCGAAATTGAATTCCGGTTGGCTTATCAAAAATGCCATTTATGATTGAGAATTGAAAATATGAACAATCAAAAAAAAAAAATGTAGTGGAATTGGGAATTTTTAGCTTCAACAAAATTTCAAATGAAAACATTAAATTTGCATCAAGAAAAGTGCAAAACGTTGAATGTTATCAACTGAAGTATGCATTTTTTAAACGCCAAAGCCACTCTATTCCTATTTTTAAGTTAAATTGTAAATTCCAATCTAATATGTTGAATTTGAAATGCTCTGTTGCTTTTTCTGTAAACTTAAATAGTTTATGAATTGAACATTTTCGATTGGTTCAAGTCACACAATTTCATAGTTTTCATGCGAAACATGAATCTTCACTTTGGCACGAAATGGTTGAAAAAATAATAAAAGAGACAGTGGATATATGCATGCATATTTTGTATTATATCAATATGCAAGGATATGAAGAGAATGACGAGAATACACTGACTTTACTGAACATTAAAATTTACATAAACCCCGAATTCTCATTTAACTTCGATTTTGCCATATACCTCTTCCATCATGCATACACATCAATGGAATTTATTGCTCGCTCTTTCCCTTCGATCCATCTGTCGATAAAGCAATATTCATTTTCATATTTATTTATTCATTTTGGTGAATTGATGTTCGCTACCTCGGAAAGCTCTCTTCACTTTCTTCCTCTCTCCCTCTCTCTCTCTCTCTCTCTCTCTCTTTTTCTTGAGACTCAATATACCATAATATGTTTTCGATTTGATCGATTTTTGAAAAGCGTGAGATAGCTGAAACATGAAGCTTGTGCTAACATTTGACTGATATCGTGCTTGAAACGGTGAACTAGCGTATGACTGGTATAGTAGTAATGTTACACAAATATGAAATTTTGTAAACAAAATTCCGTTATTTTTCACTTGTTCGGTGGAAAACTCAATTGCGAACACCGATGCCATAACTAGGTGAATCGAATTGAAAGACACCGGTTTTCTGAAAAGGATATGGATGCGAACAAAAAATGCTGAAACAAAATATAGATACATCAGCAGCAGAAACAACAGAAGCAACAGCAAAAAAATGTATTACAAATTGATTGGCGGTGAAGAAAAAACGAAGGCGAACAAAACATCGACTAATGCAAGAAAAAAAATCGGAATTGAGATGGAAAAACTTTGGTGAGAGAGAGTACACCGAAAAAATGTGTGTGTGTACATAATAACGGTGAAGCAAGCAGTTATGAAGAGCCAAGTTAATGTATTCATATCGCCTCGCTGAAAATCTTGATATTTCAAGTTTTCGCGCCCTTCTCCGATCGAAAAAAAGCATGAAGTAAGAGAGAAAAAATCCAGCGTGGATATCTTCATCTTCTTGTATTTTTCGCAAACGTAAACTTATTTTCCACACAGACGACACGGCATCATCGTTTCTCGTTATTCAAAAACTTACCTTTTACATTATTTTCGTTCTATCTACTTTATGCGATTTCAATCAGATGAGAGAAGCAGAGGGTGGTTGATCGCAAGTATCTTTTGTTACCTCGCTTGTTCTATATTTTACCTTTGTTTCTTTCATTTTCTTTTGATAGGGATTTTGTGTGTATGTCTTCATAGCAGACACATACAAAAGATCTATTTGCATGCACTTGCTTTTGTCTCTTGTTTGGCCTCTCTCTTTCTCTATCTGCAAAACCTGAAAATATCCATATCTATGCGCTGGCTGCGTATATTTGCCTATTTAAAGCGAAGAAATCTACTGGAATACAAACATACATTAAATATTCAAATTGTATTCAAATTGGGGAGATTTGGCTCTTTATCATTGTTGGTGGTATACTTGAGTTGTGTCGGTTTCTCCGTGTCTTTGCTTTGTTTTTCCGTATATATGCAATGTATATAATTTTCATCGTACACGCATTCAGGCAGCATAACGTTGAGGGCTGTTAAGCATACTAACTAAATACATTGTTCTCGCTCGATGCGTGCGTTAAACTGTTTCAAATGATTTTATAGCGAATGTATGTATTTAAGCATTTTGTACATTGAGTGTATGTGTCATTGTTGTGCGTTTTGCTATTTTTACTTTTGACGGCGTGTGCACGGAAAATCTACTATGTTATCAGTTTTGTACGGTACGATGCACGACAGTTGCATGTTTGTTCTTTCGATTAAATAATAATTCGCTCAAAAATTAGTTCAAGATCGAAAATCGCCGTTGGTAAGAGTGAGTATTTACTTTTTACTTACCTTGAAATCTACACAATGCCCCACTCCGATTGGCATGCCAAAATGAAAGGTTCATGCTTAATGATAAAATGTGCAAGTGTGCCGAGAATTTTCCCTATTTTAAAATTGAAGATAATAAATTTATTTTCTACAATTGGTTGCCATATAGATTGAGTTTGTTTGAGTCCATGAATACACCATGTGACGTTTCCACTTGAGACATTTAATAATAAATTTTTGATTTGAGCACTTAGAAGTTTTATCGATTCATTTAGTTGTATAGAACACATAGAAACCATATCACACAAATTGTGAAATTTATGAGCTCCACTCGATTCCGGTAGAACAACAGATTTCTTTGGAAATACTGCTCTATCGTACACGCACATGGCTTTAGTAAATCTGACTGCAAAACAAATACCAAAATCCTGGTCTCTCTCTCTCAAACGACTTTTCTCCCCCAAACCCCCACCGGAATTTTCAGCATTTCGAATTACCAACATACACATATTGCCATTTACAACTATATTAAAGATTTTCCGTTTACAAACGTGTCAAGCTCATTACTAATCCAAACATTTTCTATTCCATTTATTTCCAGATATGATGCCATAAATCCTATTATTATTCATCATTTTGCAAAAGCGCTTTCGAACGCACAGTGAAAGGCGACCTAAACACAGAGAAGAAGAAGAACCGAATATACGTTGAGTTAATTTTGTGTGCAGCTTTGTGTATTTGAAGTGAGCGCGCGCGCGCACGTTCATATTGAACTGAATCAACTAGCAGCGACAGAAACGAAAGGATTCGACAACGATACACAAAGATAAAGCGAAACATTTGATGTGAGCGTCCGTTGCATGGAAATGACAGAACTGTAATCGGCAGCAAAGCATTCATAATTACTGGTTGCATTGGCAACAGAGGATCCAAAAACAGTGTGTGATCAAATATAGATAGATATACATACAGAGAGCACGAGAGAGGGATAGAGGTCGAAAAGTGGGCATAATTTGTAGGTGAAATCACATTGAATAACAATAATTAAATCGACGCCTCATAATTAAAATCTCACATCGAACAACATCGAAGTTGTCTAATCGGTTTTCTGGACACAACAGCGAACGACGAACCAGAGAGAAGAGGATTTTCAACAATTAATTATATTATCAATTTATTATTCGTTTTGATGTGTTGTGTGTCATTGGCTTTGAAAACCGCATAAGCTGCCGTTGCCTTGCACAATATTAAATGTGCACGTGTGCAATTGACAAGCGAGAATTGTGAACTTCAAGTTGAAATTAAATATATAGAGAGGAAGAGACAGCCGAGAGAGAAAAAAATCATTTCATTCACTTTTTTTGGTTGCCCGTGAAATTCTTCAATTACTGCAATCGAAATTGGAAAAATATCGTTTAATTGAAATTTTCATTTCGACCAACGGCATTCCAACAGCAGCAGTTAAGCACCGATATCAGCGTACTTGGAGCGTTTGACTGAAAAAAATATATACCATTTTCGCCTATGTATTAAATTGGACATTGGTGATTTTTTGTTTGCTCTTTGTGCGCTTACGACAGCCTCCATCGAAGCACAACAATATGATGACAAGGAGATTTGTTGCAAGACGCAATTGCGCCACATACAAATGGTCATTGCGAAGCGTTCAATTGACGATAATTGGTTTATTGATCGCCAACACAATCGAAACAAATGCAGCCGTTGATTGGGGTAAGTGTTGAAAATTAAATTAAATTAAATTATCAATTATACGTGACAAATACATACATATGCACTCTTAAGCGATCGCAGAAAATAAAACCGAGATGACAACAACAACAACGACAACAGAAAAATTGTATAAATGCGGCGGAATGTGTGGCATTGTTCACACATTTCACGCATTTATTTTAAGCATTCAAGCCAAACACACACATATAAAATCTGTCATAATAAATAACATTGGAAACGTTTCGAGATTTTTATTGAAGAACAACTGAATGACAACGAAAAAAAATTGCATTAATTTTGTTTTTGTTTTTCGCGCTCGTGTGGACATGAATTATGGTCGGCACACACTTGTGCACTTCACTTCTCATTCCACAATCGTGTTTTTTTCCTCATTTTTTTTTTCATTCGTTCATTGAAATTGTACAATCTTTTTCTGGATTATAAATTGCTTGAAATGTAATTATTTTATACTTTGTGCAATGGGATTTTTGTTGTTGTAGATGTCATTTTCTTTGTAATTCTGTGTCGTTTCCATTGAAAAGATCAAAGAGTCGCATATTTTTCGAGCAATGTTGCATATTTACTTATGCATAGCATCGGTTCAACAAGTAATTTTAATATGACACGACGTGCTCAACGAACACAAAACCGGCCAATGCGAGATAAAATGACACTAATACGATGAGTACATCTGAATGAAAAATCGAAACACAAACCGAGAAAAAGAAAACATGAACTGTAACAGAACCGTACCAATAACAACAAAAACAAAAACAACACATAAATAATAATAAAGCAAGCAGCAAATGTATTCAATCGTTGAGCTATTTTCGTTTTCGACTTTGTAAAGGGTAAAATTGAATGAATGAGATTGCTAATAAGAGTCGAAGACAAAGATATGAAAAACATATGAAATGAAAATTAAAATGGATTTACGACGACTGCCTTGATGTTGGCAGCCAAAGAAAAAAAATTAAACTATATATGAAAAATAATTTTTGAGAAAGAGTAGAAAACAGAAAAACCAGCGCAGAAAAAAAATAACTGGTGAAAATATGACGGCATTATAATTGTAATAAATGTTCATTTCTTGCAGCATGCAGTGTGCGCTTTGTTTTCACGAGAGATTTTCGCTACGCTCATTTTACCAAAACACCCAAATTACAACGATTTCTACGACTACTTTACGCGTTTTCATTTTCAATGAAATGTAATATGATGTGTGCTGTTGCATGCAACGGATGAGAAATGGCCATTCACCGTTCGTTTCAGCATGCACGCAAAAGCGCATTTCTAATGAAACGATAAAAAGCAATTCGTAAAGAAAACGGAAGGGGACTATTTTTCTTTTGCTCTTTTTCTCTCAATGTGTGCTTTCTTTGTCTGTTTTTGCTTCTTTGTACAGAGCGAAAAAGAATGCATGTAATTTAATTAGAGAATGAGTCGGTGAACATGTGAGGACAGAGCGACAGTCATCAAACATGTAAATTATATTTAATATTGTCATGAATGTTGCCTTTTCATTTGACAGCGAAATGCTATTGCATCCTGGATGTATCCAATGTGCGCATTTCTCCATGGCAAGAACACAGAAAAAAAATCAAAGACGACACTCTTTGCGCACTTGAAGAATTTTGAGCCTTGCAGCAAATGCACTTTAATCGCAAATCTCAATGGATTCGCAGATAAAGAAAGATAGAGAGAAGGAAAGAGAAAAGAACAAAGTCAAAAAGTCACTTTATCATTTTGACTAAAATATAATTCATGTTACACAAGCATTCACTCACTCACATCCAAACCGGTACATTTTCGTTCGTTTCGATGCTTTTTTCGTCTTCTTTTAATTTCATTTCCATACGATTCATTCGCTTCCTGATTTCTATTCAACTCTTCTTATTTACAAGTGAGACACAGAATTTTCATCTTTTTCTTTCTTTTTCCTTCTGCCCACATTTCATAGTCGTGTACCACAATTCAACGACTGATGTTTGCTCATTAAAATTTTGCTAAACAAGTCATTTGGATTTAATGTAAAGGATTTACATTTTTATTCCGCTGAGAATTCGCGCACATCACATTTTTAATTTGCAAATCAACTGCACATTTTTTTCACCGATCCAAGTGAAACAGACAAAAAAACAACAGACCCATAAATGTCTTCAATGAGAAAAAATGGAAGCAAAGAGAAAGAGAAAAAAAAAACGCTGAATGGCCAGTGTAAATGAAAGACTTAATGAAATTGTTGTGCACAAACAAGTTCAACATTTTTCATGCATCAAACGAAGAAAATATATATGATCTCCCGCTGTTTGCTAAATGAATTAAAATATTTGCCATTTAATTACAAATTTTTGTTTTGTATTCAGCAAAAAAAAAAATATTATTCCAATTATGATTATGTTTGATTTTCACGGTTATCACAACGGCACTTAGCATAAAGCGAATGAGAGATTGAAATGGACACGCACATGCCGATGTAAATATAATTTATTATTGTATTTTCAGTCGAGTCTTTTACTTTTTCACCGTACGAATGGGTTAAAATGTGATACAAATAGAACCGAATCACGTATGAATTGGATTATATTATTGAGATCGAGCTGGCACGCCAGGTTTTCGCTTCGTATTTAATTTGTGTTTAGTTGTTTTATATATATATAGATTTTTTACCGCTTATGAGCAAAACTTTGGCGTTTTTTCTTCTTCTTCTCTTTATTGTCGTGCTGCCGTTAAGTTGGTAGCAAAGCACTAAAGCGGCACCGTGGCACAGGCAATAAAAGGGAAATTCATTACACAGCCGTTTAAATGTAATAAATTAAAGTGCATTTCGTGTTTCTCGCGAAATGGACGCGCACATTCGCGCTCTTTCGGTCCACATTTCACAATTTTTCACCACTTCTGAAGTTCAGCGCTCAATATTTTCAATGTGTGTGCTTCACACGGCAACTGGCGGCAATTTTGCCATTTTCTATACAATATTTCCTTCTCTCGTGATCTCATGTATATGTTGTGTGTGTGTGTGTATATCTCATATTCAAAATGTCTATTGAAAGAGTGCGACAGTCTTTCACACAACAACTGTGGTGATGTACTGTGCCGAGTGCGCGCGCGAACACGAACACTAGAGAGTAATCAAAGAGTTTTATGTGGAATAAATATTATTTTTATTGTATTTATTTAGCCGTTCGAATTGAAAATTTTCGAAACGATGCAAACGGCAATATTTTGCCACAGACTAACCGTGTAAATGCAGTTCGTGCACTCGTTGGTTTGAGAAAAGCGCTTTAACGTAATGAATAACAGCATTACTTTCGCAAAGAGAAAGAAATGTAGAGAGAGGAAGAGAGACATTTATGAGAAGGTGAAAGAAAGAGAGGTTCATGTTAAGCCAACAAAACGACTTTAAACATTCCCAAGATTTAGTGTCGTTTTGTTAATGGCTTATCCTCTTCTCTTCGCATAATTTTTTCTTTGCCTCCTTTTGTGTATGTGTAATATCATAGATCGTTTCGAATCGGGAATCTTATGCATGTGCGCCTTGTGTATGCATCATTTCGCTCGTCGATGCGCGAGATATGTTTTCTGATACTTTTAACAACACTTCTTTCTTTTCATCCGCGCATTCCTCTGCGTGTTGTTGCTAGTTTTGTTATATGTTGTTCTTTTCTTTTCAGTTGAACATATAAACCCACTTAAAAGATTTATGAAATTATAATTCATGTTCGTTTATCGTTTTTAATTTTACACAGAAAAAAGTCTAAGAGAATAGTCGAATTGCATACCGTTCAAAAATGCATCACAACACTCGACATGTAAGGAAAACAGTTTTTTGAATGCAATGTAATTGGAAAAAACAGATGTGATTTCGTTTATTGCAATTATGTGTTTTTTTTTCGTTTTCTCAAACTCTCTTCTGGTGCTAATCAGACTCACACCAAACTCAATCCCGCATACTCACTTGCATAAACACACATAAACGCGCGCTCGCACAAACACATCATGTATTCAAAATTAGAAATGCTAAAATTTACTGTTTCAATGTAAATGGCTTTTGCAGTTTCGATCAAGTCGAAAGAGGAAAAGTTAAGCGTGTCATAAATTTAATAAAATTCAAAAAATATTAATGTTACTTCAAACGGAATCTAAAATGAGTAAAATAACGAGTATCCGCTGTAAAACCAACCAGCAAATCGTTATCACAATGCAGATGCAGCGTAAATACAGTGTTGCATGCAGCAGCATGTTTTGGCATTTATACCCTATTTGCATTTGAACAGACTGAATGAGTGACTTTTTTTCGGTGCTTATTAAACACACCAAAACACTCACTGAGATTTAGTTCGAATAGGCCGCGCTACAAAGACTAACGCTGTTATGTAGGGTAAACGACAAATAAATCGTATTTTCAATTATATTTCTACAAATCGTAAATCATGCATGAGTCTGAAATGACAGCCATTCACATATTCCACTTCTACAATTTTACCAAGCACACGTCATGCAAAATTGTAGCAATCATTTTTCCAACTAAATCTCGCACTAAATGTTCTCTCTCTTACTAGTATTAGAATGAAATCCATGTAAAACGAGAAAGAATGAACGTGTTTGTTTCAGTTTAGTTGCCGTTTTTGATTTTTGCAACTTTATGGCAAATATGCTGCTCTAATTGAACAATGGAAAAGAGTCAAAAAATGGTTTAACTGACGCGACCAACAATCTAAAAACCCTACAATGCAATTTCTATGTTTTGTAAAATCATACGGAGACGAAAATCGAAGAGAGGGAGAGGGAGGCGAATGTCGGATGGAAAAACATACACATTTATAGATATTTCGTTCATTTTCGAGCATTAAGTGATTCGATATCGGAACTATGAGAGCTGAAATAATATTTCCATGTTCAATTAGCCGATGCAGCCACCGACATTCCCCATCGAATACCGATTTTCGGTTGAACATAAAATTAAAATTGATGTGAAGTGCGAGCATTGTCTGAATATG